CAGTTTGCACTGAAATGCGAGTCAAGAGTACGTAAGATACAGCGATGAGACAGTGACCCTCTGCTACACTGTCTAGATTCCCCAAACTTCTAATGTGGGGTGGCTGCCTGAGGTGGAGCTCCACAGTGCTGCTGCTCAGGTGCTTCTACGTTACCACGCTGCAAGTCGTAATGCATCTCATCGCGCGGTTTGCTTCTAGGAGTAGCATCTCTGTGTCCATCCAGCATCATTTTGGTTCCACGGCAGCTGCAGGGCAGAGGCTGTTTGGGCAGGAGCTGCTGGAGAGGCGTTGGGTTGCCCTGGAGAGGAGATGGGCATCGCACCTTGGAGCAGGGCTGCGCGCGGGGATGCAATATCAGCACGGCAGCTGTGCTCGCTGGCTTGCCAGGGCGGGAGGTGCTGCGAGGCCCCGATGTGCAGCTGCTACATGCAGATGTTTGAGATGAGGAGTTTTGGCCCAGCTGGCTCCTCCAGCAGGTCTGTGTCCCCATCCTTCCCAGGCTGCCAGCTTTCTGTCAAAAGGCCACAGTGCTGAGGTGGCACCCCGGAACATGCAACTCTCATGAGCATCTTCTCTTTATGCGTGCTCGTGCTGTCGGGAGGACAATGTGCCTTGGCCACAAGCTAGGGCAGAAACATTGGTACAGACCTCAAGCCCTGCAAATTCAAGGGCAGCCTGTCTTTTGACATCCCTGGGCTTTTCTAGGGCGCGTACTTTTTCTATCTCTGTTAAGGCGGCATTGCCAAATGCACAATGAGCAACGTCATGGAGTCAAAATATTAATCTCCTCTGCAATAATATGAGAAATCAGGGTCTCGTAAGTAGACAGCCAGAAAAAATTACCTTAGTGTTAACATGGGTGATTGGCCAATAGTATTAAAAATATCTTATAAACAAGCTGGAATTTGCACTGCGTGGTATTCTCAGAAATGTTCACACAGGGGCAGACAAAACAGCAGAATTTCAACCACACTCTGGTTTTACTGCCCAATTTGTGGTATCTTCATTTGTGGAAAACAGTGCTGATGTGTCTCAGCTGTGATTTTGAATACAGCAGGTGATTAGATTTAAACAGCTTGAGACGGTAACTACCAAGGCCATCATCAGATCTCCCTCATTTTCTGTCTAGAAAAGTAATTGCCCTGGTTTACACTTTGAACAAGATGAAATGCTGAAACATTTATGGAATGGAAATTGAAATTCTGGTAAGGAAGTGCTCTCACTAAAGCAGCGGTTAGACGATACTTTGAGTTGGTCAGATCCAAAGCCAACGTATGTTCGGGGCGATAGGGCTGATCTTGTAAACTTTGTAGCTGTGGATGTTCCCACTGAAGTATCGGAGTGCTGTTCCTAGAACTACCGAACACGTGGAAAACCCCTTTCTTGACCCTCGCGTTAAGAAGCATCCCAGCAACGACTTGTTATCTGTTCTTTCATTAAGCAAACTCATTGACAATCCTAACACTTTTTCCTAAGGCCGATCCAATGGAGAGCTGGCTTATCTTTGTTTACTCATAATTAAAGAGGGATGACTTCTAGCCCGACATCTGTTGGTCAGCGGTTAAGCCGAAATCCCGTTCCGAGGTCTGTAACTGATGCACTTACAGAAGGTTCTTAAGAACAAACGCTTTTGGTGGTTGCTGATACAAACAATCAGCCCTTTCTGCTGCTTCTATTACTGACTCTCTTTGGTTTCTGTGCCTTGAGCCCCATGTTACTGCCTGCTGGGGCTCTCTTTAACCAGCAGTTCTCATTCTGGGCTAATTCCTTCCAAGAAAATTCTTAAAGTACCTTTTTTTTTGTTGCAGGACAGAGATTTCTCTGATTTCAAGGTTTTATCTCTGTCAGAATTTGTCACATCTAGTGCTGAAAATAAGCTACTTGTTACTAGGTTTTAAATAATCTAGAGTTGCCATTTATGCAGTTATGCAGCAAAGTTGAGGGTAATTTATCATTAAGACTTTACTTTTGAATTGGTTATAACTCCAGATATTAAAGTTGTTTAAAGAGTATATGTGCAGGAGACTGGTGCACATAGTTACCAGTTTTGGTAGCCAGTTAAACCATTAGCTTCTCTAACATTTTTTTAATTTTAGATTTTATAAATCACTGGAAAACAAAAAAAATATAAAATACGATGCTTTGTTGCAAACAAACTGAAATGTTTAGGTTCATGTAGACTACTCCACTGAACTGTTTGTAACAGAAGTAATTTGACTTACTATTTGTGATAATGAGAGGTTTAATGAAAACAATTAAATCATTTGTTCAGCCAGTTTCCACGATCTAAGCTGCCATGAATACACTGCGCACATGGCGGGGGAGGAAAAAAGAGGTAGCAAGATGTCAGGCAAAACCCCAGAAAAACTAGCAAGGAATATTCCAGCAGATTCACAGATGCCAGGATCTATATGTCATGTACTAAAACTTCTTTTGTTTGTTCCTTTGATGATGCTCACAGTAAATTGGCAATCCTCTTTTACTTCCAGGACACAAGGGCCTTCAGCCTTTTTTGTAGCTCTGCTCTAGAACTGTGCGATGAAACCCAATCCCTTTTACTTATTTCCCTAGATACTGTAATCCCTCCCTGCTTTGCCAGTATCTTTGAGCTGTTCCTCCCTTTGTATCCACAGCAACAGGAATCCCTGCTGGAATTACTCCCTTCTAAAATGCAGGTGCACTTGTTAATGCTGCGTTGGTTCAGGCTCTTAACTTGGAACACTTTTTTCTCCAAACGGGAATCTCTGTTTTTACCTGTGTGCAGCTCAAGCATTGTTATATAGATAATTAGGAGTGTGTAAGGTGTGCACTCTCCTAACACACAGTACCTGTTTCTCAGAACCTTCATTGTTTTGCAGTTAGGAAGGGCTTTTAGTGAGCAATCGACAGCCATAATAAACCTACTTTATGTTAACCTAGAAATTCAAAAAATAAAGAGGTAAATGCCACAGAGCATGGTAACGCATGTAACAGTCGCTGGGGAAAGCACCCAGCCCCCTCATCTCCCTGTAACCACGTGCCCATGCCTGACAGGAGCAGTGATGAAGCACCCACTGTTTGCCAGGCTGGTATGTAAGTGCCTGGACATGTACTGAAGATCCTAAGGCTCGTCACAGTGCCTACCATTCTGAAGTCAGGCCTTTGGAATACAGCACACTAGGCATTTTTTTTACATATTTAAAGATTCCAACAGCTTTCACAAATGCCAGCCTGTGCTTAAACATTTACTGAACTTTGATTCTCAGCTGAGGAAGAGCTTTTTCTCTCTGCAAATGTGACCATTACTCAGGTGAAGCCATGCCTCAGGCCTGGGAGGGCAAGTAAAGGGCAGTGCTGGGTACCAGCCTCTGCCTCCAATGCCAGCACGCCTTTTTGGGAGCTTTAATCCAATTTTCTTTGTGCCTTGATTTCCCCACCCCCCCCAGTGTAAAATGGGAGTAAGAGATATGACTCATTTCATCACAGCATTCTAAGGAGATGCTAATCTACATTTTGATGCCTATGAGATTAATGAATGGGAAACATGAATTAATGTTTGGGGCATATGGGAATGCCATGGGAGCGCTGAGGTAGAAGTAAATCATTAGTGAGTAAATCGTGCCGAGTGAAAGGTTTGAATTGAAGCTTTGCACTCAATGGGGAAGAACTGAACAAATACCATATGACTGTGGAAATACTGGATGACTGTGTGTGGACTAAATGGAGGTACAGCATCTGCAGAAGAAAACAGTATGTGACCGCGTCGATCAAGTGCATCGTGGTGCGGTCATGCACAAGAGGCGCATTAATGTTGCCCAGGACCTTCATTCTGCTGTTTTTATGATGCTTTTGCAACATTTCCATCCTAAATGTTGTTAATGTAACTTCAACATTTAAATTGTAGCACCTGGGTTTGGAGACCTGTTGGCAAGAGGCCGTGCAGTACACAGAGAGAGGATTTCAGCTCTGAGCTGAAAAGAAAGCTGAAAGGGAGGATGTCTAGGATGTTTAGGTACTGTTGTAGTAATTTTCCTCATAATTACATGTAAACTAAAAGCCAGGGAGTCATACTATTAAGGTGTGTAAAGCTTTTGTAATTGCTCACACTCGAACCCCCTGAGAAGTGCTCTGTGGGTGCAGATGGCATTCTGTACACTTTAAATTCAGCTTTGTGTATCGGACTAACTCTCATTTACATCGAGACCACTTTGTACTGCTCAAGACAGCATAATGTGGCTGTAAATGAAGAGCAAATTCTATTTACACCCACCTCTGCAAAGTGACCTTAATTTAAATGAGAATCAGGCCCATAATCTGTATAAATATATGCACTCTGTTACATTAAGGTTATTTATTACATTGCACTCATCCCAAGTACGCGTGGAGATTTGCCATAGATAATCCATAATCCAGAATTAAACTATTAATATGCATTTTGAGAGGGGCTGCCATAACCTTGAAATTCCTTGGTTTAAGTATGACCTTTAACTTTGTTTGAATATATTTTTCAAACGTATGAATAACAAATTAACACCAGTTGATAAAAAACATTCTGATTCCTTTGTACCATTTGCATCAATCCATACTTAACTTACAGAAAGCCTTTAAGATTAGAAGGCTTAATCACTCATGATATTTATTTATTTTTAAATGTCAGGTCACATTTAGCTCAACATACTGTCAGTCTCGTTCCCCGCCCCCCCGCACACTCTGGTGTTAATGAAACTGCAGAGGCAAAGTGTTCTTTTCTGGGTCCAAACCCACATGCTACTTAGCAGAAGGACAAAACACTTGGTACGTGGCCTGTGTAACAGAACTATGTTATCCTCCTGAACGTGGAGTTAAAATCTGTGATGCTCCTTTGATACACCCTCCTAATTTCAGGGAGCAGATGAGTTACCAGTGTGTCAGGAATTCCATTTTGCTTTTCTGCACCGGACAGAAGGTGAGCCCTGAACAGCAAAGGCATGTGAGCAAGCTCACACTGGATAACTGTGGTGTTTTGCTTTTGTTTCCGCAGCCCACATCTGAAATTCAACAATCTCACCCTGATTTCAACTCACGGCCTTCCAGGAAAAGATCTGCCGTGCTCCCAGCATAGGAGGTTTTTGATTAACAGGTTTGATTTAGTACCTAAATATTTCCATAGCTTTGAAGGAACACGTAACACTCGTTAATTCTTTGTGACCTTGTCCTAAATTTTAGATCGATACATAAGTTTGAGTTTTCAGTGTCAGAAAGGCACTGAGTTGAGTCTGGGTGGATTTGCAGGACAGCCGGCAAGGTAACATGTATTTTTATGATGGGCTATTGCAAGGCTCAGTGGGGCTGAAGAGTCATAACGGACCTTGCTGAAAACGTTCTCTCTCTGGTCCTCCATGCATTTCATAACATTGTGTCTATTGTACACCTGTATTGAAGTACTTTGTTTTCAGGCATCTTTGTCTTTCCAGAAGTCTATAAAGCAGAGAGGGTAGCACAAATGCAATAATGAATAAGTATGCTGGTATTGGGCAGGGTGGGGGCATGCGCTGAGTCATAAAAGACCTTTGGAATTAATTTTCTTTTTCATTACTGAGGCATTGAAAGACTTTTTATTCCATCTGGATTTTGCTTCAAAACTGGTTTTTTTAGTAGCAGCTTCCAGATCTTTGATATTTCCATCATATGTGGGGATATATAGAATACTTTATGCTGGAAACAGGCTGTGATGCCCCTGAAATTCGAGTTGCAGAAGTAAACTTTGTTTGAGATTTTCAAAATGAATGAGTGATTTTAGGTTCCTCAAGTTTTTGGTATTGACACTGAATTAAGACTGCCAGAGCATGATGCTGAGGGTGTGTCTGCACCCTGAAAATCCCCTTTCTGTCAAGGGCTAGCACGGGGTCAGGTTCATATGGCAGTCGGGGACAAAAAGCCCTGAAGTCCTACAAAGGAAAAGCAGAGTAAAGCATGTATTTCTGACCTTGTTCTTAAATTATGTGGTTGTAAGGCCCAGTGCTGGGAGGCGTTGCTTGGTTTTAGCAGAAAGTTGTCAATTTGTAACTGAGTATTTCATAATGACTGATCTTTTGCTATAGACTGCTGCAAACTCACAGCGAGGGAACAGGCTTGAACCACTGGGGGACTTGGGCTAACCCACCAGATGTCTAATTAATGCCTGCTGTCAGCTGCTGAAATGTCACTTACAGATATTCTTTCTTCACAGCCACTGTTTTAATGATGAAGATTATGCACAGATGTCACTTTGTTCCTGGGTTAACATTGTGGTTGGTAAAATGACTGGCATAAATCGCGCTGCCAAATACGTGATTGTTTCTAAGGAGAAAAAAGTACCATATGACTACCTCGTTCTCTGCACAGGGCAGAAATACCAGGTAATATTTGAAAAAAACCATAATACTACATTGAAGTTGTGCAGTGGTTAGTGTTTCTGCGATCAGCAGGGCAGTCCATAGCAAGCATGTAACCAGGAGGCTTGCAGCCCTGCAGCGGGGCAGGTCATGCTGTTTCAGCATGACTGTGGAATTTGGAGGAGATGGGAGGTTTTGCAGAATTTTCTACCAGCTTTGTCACCGCTCAGCATCAGATATTAAGTGAAGCTGCTGGCATTTTTGCCACCGTGACCATTAAACCTGCTGAAGAGTAGGCTTTGCTGACATGTGGCCACCGCCATGGGAGACTTAACTCCAGCTGGCCTGTTTGACCTAGTTTGGGCAATGGAGAGAATTCCTTATCAAATTAATCACTCGTCTCACATGATGACATGGTGCTGTACACGGTCGGGTTTCCAGCGAGACCGAAGTGGGCCCTTAGTTCCTTGTGAAACATGGAATCAAGCTCATCTCCAGCCCTTCAGGCTCAGCTTCGACTCAGACATCGTGGACAGGGTTCACTCATTCTTGTTGCTCACCATGTGTCCCTCAAGCAAACCAAGTGGTCACCTTTTGTAGAAGCCCGCTGCCCGCGTTGATTTTTCTCTACTGGTCGATTTTGGATATAGGAATCATGACCAAGGTCATGAAAAGAACACAAAGGAAAACTCAGGTTTTATCTGCCTTCAGGAAAAAAAAAATCATGTAATCTATTCTCGTTTTTAAGCTCTACAAGAAATAGAAGAAATTATTTTTATCGTCTGGCTTCTGGTTTATTACTCAGAGCTGTAGTCCATGCTTTTAATAAGTTGTCCCTTATTTGGTGAGCTTAGAAAAACACTATTTTTTATGATTAAGAGGATTTACTTGTTGGTAAGTAAGATCTTTTGTTGTCATGCCTGTTCTTGTATGACTGAACAATATTTCACTTTATCCACCTGGCAGTGAGAACGTTCAGGATGCTAATCACTGGTGTTGTAGATGTTTTAGGTGAGATTCCCTTTTTTGCTCTGTGTGCCTCAAATTGAATTTGCTACTGTAAAGCAGTATTATACAATTAATATTTCACTGAATCCTGGCATATTAACCATCTAGCACGTTTTGGTTCCCTTCGCTGGGACAAAATCTCTTAGTTTTAGAAAGCTGATTTTTGCTGACAAAAGATAGAGGTGGTCTTGCTGCACAGAGATTTTTCAGGTGTCACATAAAGGTACAGGTTATTCAAATAACTGCAGAGATCCTGCTACAGTTCATTTGTGCAAATCTGCTGTTGGCTGCAAAGTCCCTTTCGTTTGTGTCTTCCCTGTGGTGGCGTTCACTTGTCCTGGCACTGCTGGTGAAGATGGTCACCCATGGAAAACAGTTTTGTGGCCACTGTGTTTGCTGCTGCTGAATGTTAAGAAGGGTGAGAATGTAAAAGGACAGCAACTCTCAGGGGGTCAAACAGCTTGTGCCAGTGATTTTTAAAATCTTGCTTAACAGTTCAAGCTCTATGCCATGTATTCAATCTCACACTCATTTCTTCCAGGTCCTGTCTCCCACGGGAGCAGATATCAGTAAACTCCCGACTAATGAAGAAGTCCTAAGTAAGTGGCCACAAAGATACACTGGGAGAGTCCCTTCCAATCATTTTACTCTTAATGACAATGAGGACTGCTTGAGGGCAGTGCACTGGCTGAAAGAAAACATTGTCAGCTCAGAAGGTAAGGGGGTTTGTTACCATGCACACTTACAGAAATGTTTTCTAGGCTTATTGTTTCCTTAATTCCATGTTATAATTGGTTCCTGATTAGTTCTAACAGTCTTTCATCTGCTGTGCTTTGTTTTTCAGATTAATTTACAATTTGTTGTCATTTTTGATACCCAGCATATTTAGTGAGGAAGGAAAGGCTTGAGATAGATTAATTATCTATAATTATTACATAAAGCAAAATGAGTCCCAAATGCAAATCTGACTGGAGTCATTAGTTAACCGATTAAATAATAATTTAATTAGTGGATGTGGTTTTCTGCTGTGTAGAAAAATGTCTAGATTTGAGGTGTAACACAAAAAGAGAACAGGTCGAGTTAGGAAGTGGGTTTTTTCCGTACGTGTTTTTAACCCTTCAAATCAGCCACCTGTGGAGCTGTCTGTTTTACCTGATTTCCAGCTGTTCGTGTGTGCGTGGTTTGTACATTCCTTAGTTCATTCACTGAATGTGTGTGCCATTGAAAATATCACCCAGGTTTCTGAGTTAAACTCTCCACTGCTGCTGCTCTGCCGGGGCCACCAAGGCTTTATGTTTGTTTTTACTGCTCGACTTGGAAATTCTCCTCATCCTAGTTTTGCCTTCAATGAGTACTAGTATTACACCTCATATATTTCATCTTGTCAAAACTGTTAAGTATTGTTTGTCAAATTCCTGCTTACCTGCTTTAAACACGTTAGAATGAAAAGCATTAAAAAATGTTTAAAGCAAACTCAATGGCTTCTATAACTATACATGCTGATTATTGTAGTTGTACAGAAACAGACATTTCAGCCTCCCACTTCAGATCCAGTCTGCTACTGGGCTGGGGCAGAAAAGCCCGGGCGAAGGAAGGCAAACGCGCCTTCGAGACCACCTGTAGTTCTGGAGGTGTTGGGTTTTTTAAAGGAAAGCATTAATCAGCAAGCTTCCCAACGTGAGTGCTGTTAGCCTAATTGGATGAAAACTTCATTTGGTGGCACTGATTTTGAGGACAGCTTTTAATTAAGAGTTAAGGTAGGGTTTTTTAATTGCTTTTCTTCCCTCCGTGAGCACTGGGCAGTGCTTCGTTCCGTGTGCAATCAGTGGATGCTTTCTTGGAGCGGGGGGAAGCAGCAGTTCTCCTGGTGGCAACTGCCACCAGGAGAAGGGATGAGCCCTGTTGGGGGCAGTCAGTGTCCCAAGCGAGGCTCTGGCTGCTGGGGAACTGGGCGAGCATCAGCCCCGGCGGCTGCTGCTCGGCTGACAAATCCCAGCCGCCTAACGCATGCAACCTATTACAGCTGTAATTGTGACTAATTGAAATTCATCTCCTATTAGCCCCGCGCTTTCCATGAAAATAAAAAGTAGGATGGGAGTAAAGTAAGGAACAAAACTGCTTTAATGGCCCAAAATGGAACAATTATTTTTTTCTCTTTACCTAAACATAGTTTACTGCCTTATTAAAAGGGTGTTTGTAGGAATACTGCCGCATTAAAATTCCGGCGCATGAATCACCAGCCGGAGCCACTGATGCTTTAGCTAATAGTGGTTTTCTCCTTTAGCTTTTGCAAACTAGAAAGATTCGGGTCACACTAGGGTCACTGAAATCTTGTGCTTCCACTTGTGGAAAATGAATGAGCCAGCTCTGCCACAAAATGCTGACGTTCTAGTAGTAAATGAAAAAACTACTCTAACAGTCTTTATTTATGACTGTTTTTTTTTCCATGGAAGATGATTATGTTTACTCACAGATAGAGACATTTTCATGTAGTTAAATAATAAAAGCATGCTGAGGAACTGCTGTCCGTCCAGTGAACACAATTTCAGTCCATAATGAGTATCTGTAGTTTCTAGACTACTAGCACTGTAATCTAAAAAGCCACTAATATTGTAAGAAGCAGAAACCATAAATTGTTGATTTACAAGAGGTCAGTAAAGGAGCATTGCTTTTCTTGATCTAATGTAGTTGTATTTAATAGTACCACATAAACTAGAATTTTAATTTACCTTGAGAAATGCAGGGCTCGAACCTGACCTTGTATGCAAAAATACCAACATACAGTGCAATACCTGAGCTGCCCTCTGAGGAGGCTGGTTCTGCCAAGGGGTGAGGATCTCTGTTGCCCAGACTTGCCGGCTTTGAGGCAGAATAAAACCTTGCTCGGCTGTGCCTTTGGTAAGCACTTCTCATTCCCCTTTCCCAGCCACTGCAGCCTCTTCAGATGCTTGTGTTTTCCACCCGCTCCTATAAATGTAACAGGAGGCTGTCAGCATCCACATACCAGCTTCCTACCTGTACTATGAGCACATTAGGTTACTAAAACGTACTGCACTGAAGTTTTCATCTCACCGCTAGTGCTGCTTATTTGCATCTTGCATTACACTCTGCTGCAGCAGTGGGAGAAAAAATGGACCAGTCTTACATCTTCCTTCTCTTTTAACTCTTTCTTGAGGCCAGCGCTCCCTACAGATAGGTGTCTCGGCAGGCACGAGCGAGGGAAAGGGTTCTGCTGACCTCGAAAGGCAGCTCAGCAATGGTACACAATGGACAGAATTCTCTCTGTCAATTCTTACTATCACACGTCTCTCTGGTATTTATGGAAATAGTCAGGTCTTTTTCGTATGATTTCAGATGAATACATGTGCAGGTACAATTGTTGTGTTCCTCTGGTCATTGATGTGAACAAGAAAAATATGCTTGCCATCATTTCTGAGCATGTATAATTGTTGGGGGATTCTTTTCTCTGGCAGTTATGAAGAGATATGTTTATTTGGCAGCTACAAGTGGCCAAACTGATACAGACAAATAGAATAACCTTGTAGTCAAAGGGCAATAATAGACATCTGTTAACAATTTCTGTCATTAATATTCTTGGGAGCTAAGGCTTTGTGAATGCTCTGTTTAGTATTGCTCTGTGGCTCAAACAGTGAAACACGGTCCCAGCGATACTAGTTTAGCCTATGAAATAACGAAATTTAGGTTGCAGGAGCTGCTGTCACTTGTGTTGAGACAGACATGCCAACGCCAAGATAAAATGTCTCCAAAAGCCATGATCAAACCAGTTATGTAGGAAAGTATATTGCACAACAGCTTGTTTTCGGTAACTTAATCATTCCATATTTTGTGATGTTTTTTTCTTCTGCCTGATGTATTTAATTCGCTCCGTACCCCCTCCTGCAAAGGTCCTTTGAATAAGCAAAACTGATGAGGGAGAGGAGAACAAAATTGAAGAGTTTTGTGGGTTTTTTTTCTAGAGGTTTTTCAATCAAAATAATTTCAAATTATGTTAAGTACTTGCCTACTTTATGGGATGTTTTGTACAGATTCTTCACTAAATTATCTTAGCTACTGTTGCTAGGTAACATTGTTTGCTTCATAGCATCAGAGAAATAAGAGGGTCAAAGAGAGCAATTTTGAGTTATTATCATCTGAGTTACACTAATAGGGTTTTCATTGTACATCTTTGAAAATTTTTCCCATGGTTGTTTTTTTGTTTGTTTGTTTTTGTTTTTCCCTTAGGGAATGTCATTGTCTATGGGAATACAATTGACACTTACACCACAGTGGAAACCCTCTTATCTCTTGAAATTAACGGTCCTCGTGTCCACCTCGTGCGGCCTCCCCTCAGCTCAGATGTGACTTGCCTGAACAACAGCGACGTTGAAAGCACCGTCAGGGAGGCGCTGTCGGCAGCTGGCGTGTCTGTCTACCATGACAGCATCCTGGCACAGTGGAGCGAAGGCGATGACCCAGACCTCATCACATGTGCTGCTTTCACTACTAATACAAAACCTTTTAAGTTGCAGTGCTCGGTAAGTATATGCTTCCATTGTGTTTCCCTTGGGCTGTTTTTTAAGACAAAGGCCGTCAAATTTGGATAGTCTCTTGTTGGTTTATCTATTTTCTCGTATCTGGAAGGCCAAGCATTCGCTTGTTAATCTAAAGGTGGTTTTTTAAGAAATCCAAATGAAACCATTGTTAATGCCCTGGCAGATTTGGATAAAAATGCATCGAAGTTGCCCGACTCACAAATAGCTGTTCACTAACAAGTGACGAATACTCTTAATTCATTTTCTAAATAATTCCATAAATCCTTTATTATTTAAATGCGGACAGTCACTCCTGTCTATAGTTATGTGTGTTTCATTAAGCCTTAGTAGAAGCCAAAAAAATGTTAAGACAAAGGAGCCTACTATTTAACACAGTATATGTTAAACAACTATCTCCGTCTACATTGACTTTGGTTTTGTTCATCCCCAGCATCAATATCTTACGTAAGGAAATCATACACATGTTTCCGGGTGCAGCCCCACTGTGAGATTTACCCTTTCCTAATGGGCAGAATGGTTCTGTTTTGTCTTTCCTGGGCAGGTGAGCAAGCGCTGCCAAGAGAGTCGCTTCACCCCATGTTGGCACTGCTGTTCTCCCACTCTCCATATGCAGCTCTTCTGTTTCTCTCCTCTCCCCCTCAGATCCCCTGATTTTTGTCCTTCTTCCACAGAGGTCGCTGTGTGGTTCTCGTGACTTCACGTCCATTCACCACCTTGCCCATGTGCCCGTTCCTTGAAGAGCCCCGTTTCCTTACGGCTTGTTTCTCACCCCTCCCATCCTCCCTCCAGCCACGGTTCTTCCCCCTTGAGGTCTCTCAAAGATGAGAGATACACAGTCGCTCGTGATGTCAGGGGCTTTGTATCCTCCCGGACCGGCTCAGCTGCCCTGCGAGGCTCCTGTAGCTGCTTTTGGAGGGGCTGGGGCTGCTGGGAGCAGCCCCCGCAGGAGGCAGCTGCGCCCTCGAGGGAGAGCAGGCTGTGCAGGAATCGGCAGCTCTCCGGGCCTTTTGGGATTTGAGCCAATATCAACTGTTGATTGGCAGTTCTCGGGGGGCTTAATTTGTTGAGTCCAGCCGGATAAAAACAACGGGAGGAAAATTTTTCCCCGGAGGGGGCGGCGCCACCCTGCCGGCCTGCCCTCGTGGGCTGACAGATGGCTCCCGGCCTGGAGCTGTCGCTGCCCCCTCCCCTCCGCCGACACCGGCCTGCTTGTCGGCCGGCAGGATGCGGAGTGTGGGATTTTTGGATTTAGCAGACGGTTAAAATTCTCTTAACTGTGCGCAGTTGCTTACTTGTTTTGTATACGAACAAGCCCGGAGGCACTGGCTCCCTTGCGAGGCCAGCA